TATTTACAATCCATAATCTCATACGCTTTGACGAGCATGTCAATGTGGTGATGCTGAAAAAATTCAGATAGGGTATGAGAGAATATTTCCCACCTTGACAAAACATCATTGAGGCGATACTTTTTCTGCGGTTCCTGTAGAAGTGACGGAGATGTTTGACCAGTATAGATAAATTGGAGTGCAGCTAAGAAAATCTCATACGGGACAGTTTCATCAATGAATTTCAGCTCACGGTTTGCGGGAATGCCTGTTGAAGCACTCACGCAATCATTCACATCATGATGCACTGATGCAAACTGCTCAGCAAAATAACGTGACCTTGCGCACAGGATCGCTTCGTGAGCGGCATAACGGCCATCCTGCAAAAAATATCACCTATCGTTATTCTCAGTCTTCATACCAGTATGCATCGATGAACATCATATTGAAAAGACTGCTTGGTGTGATCGAAACCAGCGAAATGAGACGTGAATCGTACAGTTCAAAATTAATTGACACTTAATTCATATCGAGCAATAATCACTTCCATTGCTCAATTCGCTTTTTGACAGCTATAGTGGTAGATAAGTATATGATTTCTCACGCAGATGTTTTTGAATCGAGGAATATTTAGAAATAATAATGACCAGAAATGGAAATATAACTCACCCTGTACAACACGAAACAATCGGTGGCAATTGAATTGCTGAATGCATTGAAAAGATCTTGTTGCAGTGATGAGACAGGCGGTCGTGCCGCTTCGGTCATCAACACCAGCTCTCTTACCGCATAAGCGCTGTCCATTTCGGTGCAGAATGCAGCCAGTTCTGAACATGACCATGAGCTGATCAGTTCACGAAATGCACGTTGTGTGTCGCGAGAAATTGCTGGACGATTCTGGAAGATCAACACGAACGATAAGTCAACGACCACTGAAGAAATGAACAAATCGATTGGGAATTTATGCTCGTTTTCATTCTTATGAAATAATTCTGATACACTTAATCGCTCTATCAAACAGCTGGTTTAACTGAGTCCTTCAATCGTGGGATTCAGCTCTACAAGCTTATGGCATATGCATATGAAACAAGTACTTTACTTCTACTCAATACTATTATTGAAAATTCCTACGACCGATGGTGATCATGAAAAGTGTGTGAACGACCATGCACGATTTCTTTGCACGAAAAAAAAGCATTTCTGGAACAATAATAAGCACATTTCCAAACAGCATTTAGAAATGATAATATGGAAACTACCTTTCGACGGGATTGCAGCCTCGATAACTTGCATTCTGCGTATTTGTTACGTATCAGTGCAGCAAATCGGCATTTTCTCGACGATTCTGGACGTAAGGCGGCCGAATTGGAAGACGATGGTACTACTGAGTCGACTTGACTGCTGACGGAATCACGTGTAGAACGTTTATGCAACTGGGCGCTTCCAACTGCACCCATTCCATCACAAGTCACTTTATCTACTTGCCAGAAGGGGCTTAGAACTGCCCGGAAAACTTTCGCAGCTTTCCGGATCAATTAATGCGTTAACAATGAAACAATTAAGCCTGAAAATATCAATCATTGAGAATATTTCGTTGGCAGAATTCACCTCGTTGCTTCTTGGGATTCATACCGTGAGGCACATTCCGTAGGCAAAATATATCCGGAGTCCAAATGCCACGTAAAAACATCACCACACCTACCAAATCAGAAAAAATCCGGAATAAAATAAAAATAAAAATAACACACGAGCCTTCGGGCCGTTAGCACAATTGAGCGTTCTGGACGTATTGCCAAATTGATCTGAGAAATTACATTCGTATATCAAATGACATTCGTATAGCATCAATAGAATCACTGTTTATTGATGTCATCGCGTTCGTCTTGTTCAAGTCAACGGATTATTCAAATTGAAAAATAAGATTTCTATCTTTTTGTCGTAAATTCTGCGACAGCTTTTGTCTCTTCGAATGACTTAGAATAATAATGGTTCTTCATACGATGAGGGTGAATATGGAGGACGGGAGACACCCACATGGGAAGGAACCTAATAGTGACGGGTAGAAATCTGAATAGGCTTCGAACTCTCATTCTCCTGAAGAAAGCTCAATTACCTTGAATACCCAACATTCTTGGGAAATCCAGTTTTCACCGGGACCCATAGCTCTCGGAGAATTGCTGATCTTTCCGAGTTAT